TTCCTTTATTTGGATTGATCACAATCAATCCTAGGACTTCCACAAGCCAAGAGTGACATCTAGCAATATATCATGGCTACCCAAGCTAATTAGAATAGATGAAGAACCTATTCAGTTGGAATTGCCATGCAATACGGTCCTTCTCTTATATAATGTTTCAAATCATATTATTAGGGTACGGATTGTTTATGTCAAACCCCTAATATGATTTATAACCTCATGTGATTCAAAAGAACGTGATTAAGAACAACTTTCTAAATCAAGCTCAAAATAGTTTGGCCAAAGATTTACTGAATCACATCTTGAAACATTCTCCTTCTTTATCGAAAGTAGAGATTCCTTATTGTACATTCACATGCCCCTATGATGAATTAAGAGATCCCAACAACACTTAAGACAAATCTTTTACGGCTTGCCTTTAAGAGCTATCAAAGATCAATAACGCATCACAGGACAACCATGATGCCTCAGGTCTAAGGACTAATTTGCATTATTGCAACTATGAGTTCTCGTTTGACATATAGATAAATACTCCATACGAGAACTACGGTTGATCGCGTTCAGTGTACTCATTCACTAATGAGCACCCACATACTTGTATTAGTGTCAACTACACAAATGGTTTGAGACTAACCATCCTCCCAATTGAGCATACATAATATGTGCTAATCTTGACGGTTTATCAATGTCCATTTGATAACCTATGATTAGGAACATTTTGGGATACTACAGTTAGAGATTAAAGGTCTCATGAATCTAATCTTCTTTAGATTACTTTATCTCTTATTTAGCATACCTTAGACATTTGTTTCTTTACACGATGTAAAAGATAACAAAATAAATTTGCCCTTTATATATCATATATGAAATGTATTCTAAGGAGATCACATCAAATGTATTGGCTCTTAGAGCACATTTCTAACAATTGGTACTAAAACGACCACCGCGACTTCCTCTTCCCGACCCACCCCACCTTCGATGAAACCCGCAGCCACCGTTGCCAAAAATCCTAAAATAAAGGCTGGATTTTACGTAAACTTTCCAACCTTCGTTCCTGTTGGCGCTAAAACTAGATGGGTAGTAAGTAGGCCAACTTAAAGATGAGGTGGATGCTGAAGGTGAGGACCCTCAGTATGTAAGAGCATTCGGTAAGTAAATGGACATGCATATATAAGACAAATGTACGTGGTTCACCCGAATGATGGGCTACGTCCACGGAGAAGTATGTTCTCATTATGATAATGTGTGTATACATTGCACATAAGGTTAGACCCAAGGGGAAGAGGAAGAATGCCGAAGGCTGAAGGTTGAAGGCAGATGCTGAAGGCTGATGGCCGATGATCCGTGGGCTTGTAAATGGGCTCATGGGTAAACCCATGGGGCCCTAGTAGCCTGCCCTCTCCTCTCTCCACTCCACTCTCCCTTTCTTGAAGGGGAGAGGTCTCCTTTTATAAAGAAGGGAGAGTCACCTCCTCTTGTGTTTTGTCGATGTGAGACTCCCTTCCCTTTGGCTTGGGAGTGTTTGGGAGTGCTTGGCCAGATATTGTACAAACAGTTCCGACAATTCCAGCCACCTTTTTTGTCAATCCAGGTATGCTTTCTCATCCTTTCAACGTGTTCTACCTGATGGTTGGGTCGATTAGGATTGATTTTGAAGTTGTGAAACCCGTTTTATAACTCAAAGTTTCAGCTGGTTTTCGACTTGAGTTTCCGGCAAGTTTCGGTCACTTTTTGGCCATGGCCTAAGAACAAAAGTTGCTCCACTAGTTGTCCTGATCATGCAGGTATATGTATTGTTGGGTGTTTCGAGGATTTTCCAGTCGTTGAAATTTTCTCAAGACACCCACGCGCTGCTGTCGTGTGTGGCGGTGCGTGGGTCATGTTTGGGTGGCCCATTTGGTCCTAAAATGTTCCCCATGTCATCTTGAACACGACGGTGTGCTCAGATTTGATTTTGGTTATTGTTTGACGGTTGATCGGATTTACGCATATTAGGCGTTATCCGGGTTCGATATGTTCAGACCGTTGGATCGACTCCATTTCCAAATATGTTGATCTAGGTACCTCTAGGATCGTGTACGAATTCATGGATCGAGAATCGGAGTCCCGGATGCTCAAATTCAATGACTCAAAGTTTGCATAAACGATAACCATTCGATCGTGCGATCGCGAACTATCCGACCGCTCGACCGCTTCCTTTGTTCCATCCGCATCACAATTAGCAGATTTGTTCACAAAGCCCTTGGAAGTAATGCTTTTCACAATCTTGTACGCAAGTTGGACATTTTTGATATCCATGCTCCAACTTGAGGGGGAGTGTTAGAAATTAGGAAGTTTCTTTATTTCCTTTTCTGTAATTGATTGTAATTGATTTAGAAGTAGTCTCCAAGTAAACCTAGGATTCCTTGTAGGGTTTGTAAATCTTTCTATAAATACTTAGCCTTCTAGCTCTATCAATACATAGAGAAACATTCTTCTCAACACAGTCTCCAAGTTGGCAATAACGATTTTTGAATCCAAGACCAGTTTATTTTTAGGCCAACCCGACCTACTATGATCGGGTTGGACGGTTCGATTTGGTTAACTCCAAATTGTGCCCACCCCTACATGTTGAGTCAGTAGGCAAAAACAATTGTAGGATATAATACTTGGCTCACTCTCTTGGAAGTACTCATTCCAAACTTACTTGAAAATCATATTTGAGTGAATTATCTCAATTAGTGCATTTTGTTGAATTTTACGTACTTAACATAAATGGTAATGCACACATCACAATTCCTCCTCAAAAAGTTACAAATTCATTCATGGTAGAATACCATACAAGTTAGCTCTTTCAATCCAATATTACAAGTATGTGATATTTACACTTGAGAAATATTTTGGTTGAGAAATTGACCTTTTCTCTAACACCTTCCCCACTTTTAACCAACTTTTTTCAAGATTTAGAAATATAGTTACTTGACGCATGCTTGCTCGAACCTTCTCGAGGGCTTTCGATTGCTCGAAGCCCTAAAAAAAAGGTGTGAAGTCCCCTCAAGTTGTTAAAAATCTAAAAAAATCTAACTCTTTTAACATTAATTCGGGTACTTTCCAAAATTTCCCCATTATGTTGTGTATCTCCCAAAAAACAGAAACATTTTGTTGTCCCTCAGCCGCTGGTAAGAATAGGGGTGGGCATTTTTACCGAAAACCAGACCGCTTTAGGTGGTTTGGTTCGGTTTTTATACTTAAAAATCACAGAACCAGCAAAAAAACTGGCCGAACCGGCGCTGAACCGGATTGGACCGGTTTTTTCCCCCTTAAAATCGCTGAAAATCGGACCGGACCGCCTATTTTTATTTATATTTATTTTATTTAAAAAATACACTTGTCAGCATATTATTCGTCGATTCTAAGCCATTCCATACTTCTTGCTACACCGGATCCGGAGAGAAACCCTAAACATTTTCAAGGGTTTCGAAATTTTTTTCAATCCGCCTCTTTCTTTCCTGTTTCTTCTTCGTTCTTCCTCTCTCAGTCTCTAGCTCTCTCAGTCTCTAGCCTCTGAGCCTCTCACTCTCTCAGACTCTCTCCAGATTTCACACAAATCACGATCTCAACCACTATCACTCTCTCTCTCTCTCTCTCTCTCTCTCTCTCTCTCTCTCTCTCACCCGCTCTCTCTAAGTCACTCAGTCTCTCTCTCAACCGCTCTCGCTCGCCTCTGCCTCTCACAGTCTCTCGTCTCTGCCTCTGTTCGTTCTTCCTCTCAGTCACTTTCTCAGTCACCCGCTCTCTCTCAGTCACTCATTCTCTCTCTCACTGGCTCTCTCTTAGTCGCTCTCACTGTCGTCTCCCTCAGCCGGTTTTGCTCTCTCTGTCTCTCGCTCAGCAACTATCGCTCTCTTTCACCCGCTCTCTCTTAGTCATCAAAGGTCTCCCTCTCTCGATTTTTGTTGGTTTGAGGTAATAATATTTTGAAACCCTAATTCAAAATTTAGGGATTTTTGTTGATTTATGTTAATTCTATTTATATATTCTGACTTTGTATATATATTTTTTCTGGACAGAATTGATTTGAAGGCAAATTTTTTCCAGATTGGCTTGCTGGCTGTGTTTATTTCTGGTATGGAATTGTTGCTGTTTTATTTTACTATTTTGCTGTATTTTTGTTATTTTTGGAAAGAATTGCATCATTCAATAATGTGATTTGGCAGATATTGAGTAATAATTTAATTTGTATGATTGGTTGTTGTTTTGGTTGCTATATTTATTTTTGGTTGCTGTTTGAATAAGAGCTGCATTACGATTGAAAATTGTTGTTGGTTTATACTTGTATTTGTTGCTGTTTTGTACTTTTATTTTTGTTGCCGTGTCAGTTGCTATATGTATTTTGGTTGCTGCTTTATTTGCAATATTTGTATTTTGGTTGCTGCTGTATTTTGGCTTATTGTTTTTGGTTATTGAAGCATTAAATATTTTCATTTTCGTAGGGTATTATTAATTTCATGGAAGGAGAATCTGAAATCCCTGTTTCAACTATTAATATGTTTACTAACTGTTTTTTCTTATGTTTACTATTAAATTCATATGTTTACTAACTGTTTTTTCTTTCTTTGTGCAGAGGTGCAAATCTGATTTGAATATGAAACAACTCATGGAATTGTATATGTATGTGTAATAGAAATTTATTTGTTTTTATTTGGATTTACTTTTGAACTTTGCAAATATGCAAATTGTGATTGAGATTACTCTCACAATTTGCTATGGACTGTAATAATAATTTCTGTATTTGGAGATGTGTGGTGGATGATGATTTGCTATGGTTTTAAGGTTTTTTTTAAGTATTTGAGTGATGAAAACTTTAGATATGCAGAGTTGGAGAAACTGGAAAAACTATACAGGAACTGTCAAAACTTGAATTGTTGAAATCTAACCAAAAAAACAGAATGGGCATGGAAAACTTTTTTTTAAAAAACCTTTAATTGTGGCTTCTGTTGGGCCTCGGCAAATACTCGAACCGAACCAACCCGGCCCGCCCAATTCGATTTTCGACTTAACTCAAAAATGGGCCTAAAAAAGAGGTCCACGGTTTAGCACTTGGGCCTGCCGACAAGGCCCGATTCAGCGTGCGATTTGGGCCCATAACCGACCCAACCCGACCCGTGTGCAGCCCTAAGTAAGAATTGACCTAACATAACCCCAAAAACATTTTCTTATCCCTTAACCGACGGACTTGGCCTTGAGACGAACCGCCACCTTTGATTGATTGAACAAGGCATTTTATTGGTCCGATAAGTGTTATGGACCGAAATAGCCCAGGGCCAAAATGGTCATTTCGCATTTTTCCTTGTGCAACTAGGAAATCCTAATTCAAACGCTACAAATAAACGCCGACTTACTCTGCCTATGCGTGTGTGTGTGTCTATATAAAGCAAACGGCACCTGCAATTTCTTCTCATCGCTCATCATCGATCCTTGATTATCAACTAATTTATTATTATTAAGAACCTAAATTATAAAAACACAAATTAATATTAAAAATGGGCGCAGCAGCAGCAAGCAGAGAGAAGCCATTGATGATCCCAAATTCAAATAATATCTTCTCAGAGTTGGAAGTAAACGCAATAGAGCTTCTCGTACAACTCAGCGGATCGTCGTGCTGCAATGGCGGCAGCACTGAAGAAGAAAGCGATGTCAAAAGCAGAGCAGCTCCTCCTACATTATTCGCTGAAGACGAAGAAGAAGACGAAGTGAGTTTCGGACCGAGGAAGAAAAGGTTCCGGTCAATTTCGGAACTGTACAAGTTGATAGAGCCTCTCAATTTTGTTATTGTTAGACTAATTAATTATTATTGTAATTAACCTCAGCTGTTAAGTTAATGATATGTGATTAGTATTCGTATCATAAAGGGAACTTTCTTTCTTGGGAAGCAATTAAACCTTTTTAAAGCTCCGGGCGGTTGTGTGAATGGGTTTGAAGTGCAATGCAACGTGGCATCCTGAGTTATATGTTATCCAGTTAAAACATGCCACGTGGCAGGCTCGTAATTATCAAACCGTGTTGGAAAGAAATGTAAATCTCCCCAAGCAAGCAGGCAGGCAGGCGTGTTTAATTGGATCAAAAGGCAATATAATAGCGTAAACGATGAACCAATCCGTTCTACAATCACGCTGTGAATTCTGCCAATTACTGCAATTTTGTTAAAGTTCACATGACAATGGTAATGCACACATCGCACTTTCCTCCTCAAAGAGTTGCAACTTCTTTTACGGCATAACACCATGCAAGCTAGCCATTCGGTACCAATCCCAGGTATTCGAGTAATCGGTGAACACAGTCTCCGTCGTGCAAAATAAAAGATAACATGTCTAAAAAGTAGTAAATTTGAGGGCAGGTGTGAAAGCATACTCTACATGAAATCTTTACTTGCTAAAACAGGTTTCCTCCCCTCTAGACTACAAAAGACTTTAACTTGTAAGAGATGCATGCAATCAGGGTTTGGCTACACAAAGATAACATGATGATGTTCTCAACTTGTTTGTGCAACTTACTTTTTCGGAACCTAAGAGCATCTCCACCCATAAGGGCTAAGTCTAAGGCAAGGGCAAGCAAGGGCTGCCACTATTCACGTGAATAGTGTCAGCCTTTGCATTTGTGGTTCCA